AACTTGAGCCGAATTTAAAAATATTAAAAATTTATTAACAGAAACTTTTAATGATACTATAACCCAAATACCTATGAGCGTAATTTGAAATTCGCTATTTCTGATGCATTCCACTGGAAAATGCGCCTAATTTACACTTTGCACTTGTGGCCTTAAATAGTTTAACTAAAATCGCGACACGTTTGTCATTTCAAAATGTGTCTAGGAATTTTTTCCCTGGAATTTATATGCAACTAATTTCCATGGCCTAGAGCATCTATACGTAAAGTGCTACGGCAAAGCAAAAGACAACGACAACAGCAATGAGGGCAAAGAAAATGCCAGTAACTTTTCAAGCAGTGAAGGCGGGCCAAAAACACAAACAGAAAACCAAGTAAGAACAACAACAACAACAATAACAAGGACAAAAACAACAACAACAAAACTTCAACTGACAAGACAACAAGGACAAGGCTAACAACAGGCAGCAGAGGTATGAAGCAGTAGAAGCTACTGTAGAGAGCCAGCTGCTGGCATGGAGACGAAGAGAGCGGGAAGAGGAAGGAGGCAATGATACGTTGGGGCAACTGCTGCCATGTTAGGAGCACGCAGCGAGACGGTTACAGCATGACAAACAAGATGAGAATGACTTGCAAGCCCTGGGTGATAGGGGGAGGAGTAGGTCGGCGAGGCGGAGTAGCGGAGACTGGAAGGACTAGAAACCGGGTCTAGTCTAGCAATGGCAAAGTTCTGCAACTAATCCTGACTGATGTTGCGACAATATATAGAAAAGCACAACATATGCTACTGCCGTTTCGCAGCTACGCTTTGCTGCCTCCCAGCGCGCACACACACACACACACACTCTCCTGCTCTTTCTCACACTTTTTCTTCGTTCCGCCTTCTTCTCCCTCTCTCTCTCTCTCTGTCTCACTCACTCACACAGTTTGGCTGCTGTTTGGCCATTTGTGCCGAAGATTTATGCCTTGACGCACAAAGTTGCATTTCAAATAGATTTCAACTAACGAAAAATTAAAACAATTGCAACAAAATAGTCAAACAGTGAAATAGCTAATATACAGTGCTTATCATAATTATAGCCCACTTTTAATCCACTTAAACGAATCGGCAGAAAATTTTTCCCAAATGGAATATTTCCTCAAAATCTTCAAAAATGAGTAGTTCAATATTTCAATTATGAATGGCAAAAAACTTTTTCACTTAAAATTCACGATTTAATAACGATTTCTTAAAAAGAAGTAAAAAACATGGAAAAACAGCACCATTTTCTGTATCAAAATTATAGCCCATATTCATATTTTTGTAAAAAAAATCCGAATTCGTTGCGGATTTATGGAAAAACTAATGTTAATACTTAGTCCGGCCTCCATTTGTCTTAGTTAACTCAAAAATTCTCTTCCTCATTGAAACCACTAAATTTAATAAAAGGTCCTTTTCGAAACTTTGTTATTTAGTCATTGTCGTTTAGAATTTGCGTTTTAAGATATCCAACTGTCTCCAACTGGCGATTTTTGGCATACACACGTCTTGCAAGATTACCCCAGACATTTTTATCGGGTTGAGATCCCCAAAACATGCTGGCCAGTCAAGGACATCAACATGACATTCCTCCAAACACTCTTTTGTACGTCTGCTCACATGGATTCTGACATTATCCTGTTGGAAAACCATTGGTTTCTCACGTAATTCCCTTGAATATGGAATGAGAATACTATCCAGAGCCTGAATATACTCTTCACTGTTCATTCGGTTCGTTACAAACTTCAATTCCCAGGTACCAAATGAAAAAAATTGACCTCAAATCATGACGGAGCCACCTCCAAAGTTTGGCCTTGAAAAAAACATAGGATCCTTCCTCAAATCATGCTAATAAGTATCAAACCCATCAGGACCATCCAGGTTAAACTTCTTTCCATCAGAAAATACGACCTGTTAGGGTAAAAATTTATAAATATACTGTAAGCCAAAAGACGATGATTCAAACGCGCGTATGTCAGATCGGTCGCAGTATGTCCTTCGGCAAAACCAAGTCGAGCAACCTTGTGGCGACTTAGCAACATGGATGCTTTGGTCAGTTTAGACCTATTTATTCCTGAGCTCTTAAGTACTCGCCAAACAGTCATCGCTGACATAGATTCGGCCACATGTGCGGCCAAAGCTATACAAGCGGTTGGGTTGTTGCTGGCTTTCTTAATAATTTTGCGTTTATCGTACGCAATTAGTAACGGTTTTCACCCAGTACGTCTTCTTGATCCTTATTCTTCGGGGTTATCCAAAAAAATTTTAATTACACTTTGACTTTTTTTCAAAATTCGTAAAATACTCGAAATAGACTCTCCTGACTCGAAAAGTGAGAAAATACGGCCCTTTTCATAATAAGATAATTGTTTTCCAAGCGGCATCTCTTAAAAACAATCTAAATTTACTTAATTACAATGTCTGTAAAGCCAAAAGTCTGTTCCGCACTTAATAAATTCAAATTTGCGACAGTGGGCTATAATTATGATACACAAAAATGCAAGCAAAAATACTAGCACAGAGCAAAAGTTAACGGTTCTTTCTTAGTTTTCCATAAATTGAACCAAAATTTTGATAAAACTACTGAACATGCTCCAGTCTATAATGTGCTGTAAAATTTATTTTTAAAAAACCTTAAAAATTTTGTTACAACGGGCTCAAAGTTTAAGTTGCAGGGTGGGCTATAATTATGATAAGCACTGTATATAAATATAAGTATATCATTTATTTGAGTTTTTCATTATTTATCATTATATGTCGATTACAAGACAGACTGAAGCTAGCTTCTAATGATGCTCTATTAACAATTTATCTATATGTAAAAAATAAAAATTTTTAATTAATATAAAGTCAGCACAATAATAAATAATATAATTGATAAAAAAAAATCAATTTGAAATCAATTTAAAAATTAATAAAAAACTTTAAAGGTTCTCTTATAAAAAAAAGATCTAAAATCTCGAAAATTGTTCTTAAAAAAGCTTCGAAATATTGTGTAGGAAACAGTCAAATATTCGTCAAATTCAATTTCAATTTGAAAATTTATATTATATGATTAAATTATTTAGCACATAAAGACAAAGCTTGAATGTAAAAGTACTACAAAGAATTAATAAATAATAAAGGAAAACTAGTTTTAGCTGCTACTATTGAAATGATTATTTATTCAAATTATTAAAATTCAGCTTAAATAACTCTTACATAATATTCACATACATATACATTTATATAAATATAAATGTCGACTTTTCGCATTCTATTCACTAATTAACCAAAACGTCGCAAATTTTTGCCGCAGCTATTAAGAAATGCTAATGCCAGGTGGTAAATGCGTTTGTGGTAAAGGTGTTAAGTGCTTAAAGCTTGCTGCTTTGCACAGCAAGTGCCACACCCGCCTGCTGTGCGCAAATGCTGCGGCACCATGTGGGCGTAAAAGTGCTGTGTGTCTTTGTGTGTCTTTGTGTGCGTGTGTGTGTCGCACAGCATTTTGTTGTTGTAAAAAGGCAGCACCGCAAAATTCAATCAATATAATTGCAACACTTTAGCTAAGAACTTTACCAAAAAGCTAGCAACAAGACACACAGACAAGCACACACACACGCACACACACATATACATATGTAACTATGACATAGTACGTAAACAATGTAAAACTCAAAAAAGATGTCCCATGGTGCTTCGATATGGGTGAAACAAGCGAAGAGAGCGAAAGATAGACAGAGAGCGTGAGAGCAGGAGAGCATGCGAGCGTGAGAGCGGGAGAGTAAGAGCAACTGTGTTTATGCTTAGAAGTTTATGCATTTAATTAAGCCTCTAAAAACTTACGTGGGCCTGGGGCGACGACAATAACAACAATGTTGATCGGTGGGGCATGGAAACGACTGGTGCGGGGGGCGCGTGCGTAAGAGAAGGCGCACCTTGTGATGCCCGACACATACATACATAGTAGTTTGTCATTGCCTGCGAGTGGGCGTGGCACACACTTTTGTAGTTTTACGTGCGTCACTAAAATGAATTTTTTGCAAACTCAAGTTTTTCATTTCGATTTTTTATACTCGTATCTCAAAAGTTTTTGCCGTCGCAGCTGCGACTTTCTTTCGACTCCATTCAATCATTTCTTGGTGAGAAAAACTCAGTCAAAATATGAATTTTTCAGGCCCTATAAATAGGTAAAGAGCAACCGAGTATAGGACATTGAATTAGGGTAAAAGTAGATCCAGCTGCTTAGCTAGTTGCAGTAGTCAATCAATCTTAAAGTGAAATATTGATGCACATCTATATCTATCTCTGCACAAATTTAATTAGAGTACTATTTAAAATATTTACTGCAGAAGAGCAGCAATTCAGTGTCTTAATACTCCAATCACTTCTACTTTAACTAAATGCAAGAGCGCTTGAGCAACACTATGCATGTATGTATATACACATGTATGCATGCATTGATACAAGCGAGCAAGCATGTTTGTGCTCTGCAATTAAAATTGCGCTTAATTCGACTTCCACTTTTTCGAAAGCTTTTGAATTGCGCTCATTTCAAGTTCCACTTGTTCGATCACGCTGCGCTCACTGTACTCCTAGCTGTGGATTCTATTAAGTATTGTTTTCTCTTTTGCTCATTACTATTTTTCCATTTAGTGAGATTTTTTCTTATTCCTTTTACTTCAAGTGGACAGCAGATTTGAGTGGATTATTATTATGTAAGTGTATATGTATAAACATCGTTCGTTGCAGCAACGCTCAACAGCTACTCTCAGCATTACACTCAACGGTTGTGTCACAATCCCATTTGCGATGCGCTCCTGTGCACAGCTGTGTGGACTCTATTCTCTTGCGGCTATCGCATGCAATCAACTCATTGTTCCTGTAGATGCTCATTTGCGTGTGTGTGTGCGAAGATATTTAGATTGCTTAATATAAACTATATTTACTCTTATGTAAGTACGTCTTTATGTACGCCAATTGTATTATATGAAAGCTGATAATTTGTGTATTGTATGCATATTGATCGGCATTAGCATCGCTAATATGAATTTTTATTGAACTAGCTTACCGAAACATTTTTTAAATATATGCCCGACTTCTACAATACATATATATATACATTGACAATAGTCACATCAGGGTACATCCGCTCTTACGGGTATTTTTCTGCTTATTTTGCGCTTTTGGTTGTTGGCGTCCCCTCACTTCCCCAATATTAGTCGGTTCCTGTTCTTCAGATTCACCGTCGTCATCATCATCGTCGTAATCATCGTCGTCTTCTCTATCGCTACGTCCATCTGATTGTAGATCACATAGGTCCACCTGCTGTCCTCTTTCATATGTCAGCGTAACCTCATTGGAATCATCGGCATCTTGAATTTCACTGATCATCAGCGTTTGGCTCAAGTCCATAATGGTGGGAGTACTATCTGCTCCATATTGTTCAACTGAGTGGGACTCAGGCTTAGCCTGACGGAAGGTTTTACGCCCTGGTGTCGGCAGTTCGGGCACTGAACATGTCGGTTCTGGTGAGCTGGACGACCGTTCCACGGGGAGTCCGTCAGCTCTAGCTCTATCTATAATTTTAGGATTCTCTTGCTGATTATCGTCTGATATGGACGAGTCGCATTTCTTCTTCTTTTCGTTCAGCCTTGTCTTCTTCTTCTCGCAGCGCATGCGCTTCGAGGGCGATGCACCATCAGGACCTGGATCATCTCTATAGGCGAATGGATGTGTGTTAGAGAAAGGTTCCGGCCCCATTTAGCGCCTTCCATTACTTACGCTTTTCTCTTTGTAGCCAACTTGGGACTCTTGCGCGTATAGAGCGGACGCCTCTGCATCACGGAACGCGACTTCATGGCCATAAGTAGCTTTTTTTTACTCATGCTCGGGGGTGAAGCTTTCTTGGGAGTGCCGCCGCGATAGCCTCTTTATGATGTGAGGGGGTGAGGTAGGGGTAAAATAATTAGCATCTGGTGTATAACAATTGGTTCACTGAATTACACTGTCCTACATTTTCAGGCTGTTCTTTAACTTTTTCGATGATTTTGGTGTTTTGACAGATCGCCTTGCTCTTGTCGATTTTGGTGTCTTAAGAATGGCCATGGACGTGGCCTTACTCTTGGGAGTGTGGATTGGCCTACGGCCCACAATGTCTGTGTAATTGCGACTTCGTAGTTTAATTGGGCAATTGGAACCGCAATTGAGGTGCTCCTGCAGCTCCTTCAGCTCCTGCAGATCCTGCAGCTCCTTCAGCTCCTCTAGCTCCTTCAGCTCCTGCTCGAGCGGTGGCTCATCTAAACTAGGCGTCGGTAGCTCAGAAGTCCCGGCCTGTGAACTGCATTGATCCACCGTCTTGTTAGCCGTCAGTTGAGCTATTTGAGCAGCTGTTGCTGCTGCTGCTGCGACCACGGCTTGCAGGAAACTTTCTGATTCGCTTAAAGGTGCCATGAGAATCGAAGTTTTCTGCGGCTAAAAAACTATTAAAGACACGTATTATAATAAAAAAAAAAAAAAACTAATTATAAGTTTAAGAGATTATATACAAAATTTTGCTATATTCAAACTTGTTTTGTCGATGACCTATTGTCGAAGTTTGACGCAAAGACTCTAAGCCCCGAGATATGTAAAATAGTATAAATCCCCACCTACTGAGATTATTGAGAAATAACAAATCAAATGCGTAAAGTGTGAAGAGCATGAGCATCAGAGAGTTCAGCTCTTGCGCTCATGAGCACACTAATTTCAACTTTCACTCATCGGCTGTGCATCAGCTCAATTGTTAGAATAGTTCCACAACTTAGTTTCCACCTCGCTTCGCTCTAGTCGGTTAGTCATCTTATTGTTTGGTTTGAAATTTCCTATACTCATATTATTGCTTTGCTTATAACAAACGTCGTACATATCTGCAAAAACAAAATATAATAATAAAAGATGGGACTTAGATTACGCATAGACTATATCTTCACCATCAGCTTACGATCCCCTTGCTGAGCGCATTTTTGTGGACTCTAAGTGAATTAGCCGGCCCACAATGGCTACACTGCTTACACCACATTCTCGCTCAATAGCAACTGAGCCAATCTAACCAATCACATTACACGCTCTCTCCGCCGATTGTTTATTCGTATGAGTGTGCGTGTATGTGTGAGTATGCATGTTTGAATGTGTGCTTACGAGGCCCATGCTCAATTAAAAAGAGTCGGGGCATTGCATTTGAGCTATACCCCCTAATTGTAATGTAATATCTCTTTAAAGTCAACTCAAACCAAGCCAAAATAAATAAATAAAATAATTACTGATGATTACAGCTCATATTACCCAGATAGGAGAAGACAGAGGCACTTTGCTCAACCCTTGCAGCAACCATCGTTCAAAATAACCGCTGCGAAAACTTTGCCAGCTGTATTACATTACGCCTTTAATTTCATTAGATGCCAACGAGCTGGGCGGCTGCTGGGAGTGCAGGTTGTGAGCGTGGGGGGTCCGTGGCCATGGGGGACACACGCAGCGTCAGTGGCCCATAAAATAGAACAAAACACTTGTAAAGTCAGAAGAGGGGCCAGAGAGGAAGAAGAGATAGACATAGAGGAAGACAGAGACAGAGAGAGAAAGAGAAAGAGAGAGAGAGAGAGAGAGGAGCGTGAAGCTCATATTCCAGGGCGACATCGTTGACGGCATTGCAGCGCAGCAGGCAACCAAAACGGGTTTGGTCTGTGCTCACATAGAGCGAGATCCTGCCGCTCATGATTCCATTTTCGTGGCAGGACGTCGCGTTAGAGTTTATTATTTAATACTTTGAACGTCGGGCGTAGAAATTAGCAGCCATAAATCAATGAAACGACTCGCACAAGTCCACAATTAGCCAGAGTCCCCTGTCTCGGACTGTGCCTTGCCTCGTCATCAACTTCGTGTCGCGTCGGATGGACAGCCTAGAATTATAAGAGCCAGTGTTGGGTAATTAATTTTTATGTTGTGTACATAAGATACACTTGCTTGCGGATGTCTCAGCGTGAATCTGGGGCATTAACAGTTTCCATAGTTCGTACAACAATTACTGTAAATAACTGTGGGATTGAACGCCAGGCAGTAAACATATTAATATACATATGTATTACCATTCATTTCACCAGCACATGGAAACAGCTCGTAAATGTAGTAATTCAATTATCTTGTACACCAAAGAAATGCTCAAAGTCTACACTCTAAAGCTCTTAAAGGAATCAAGGAAGCTCAAGTGAAGCTTGAAAGCTGAGCTGAACGCTGTATGCATAGTTACTGAAAAGATCCACACGAGCACACACATACCTACACACGCACACTCTTACAAACGGCGCAAATGTGTGGAAGCTAGCCTATGAGCGGTGTGGATCGTGAGAGCATGAGAATCATGTTAGTTGTCTGTTATCTACTTCACTCTACTCTTAGAGAGCTTTCATTTCTATCACTGTCAACACACAAACATTCACACACGCTTCACATCTTCAGAGTTTTGTCACAAATTATTCGGGTCTAATATTAGATATTATTATATTGTGCTATATTATATAATATTATTATTCTACTATTATATCACATATTTGTTGCCTTTGCTTTAGCCCATCAGCTCTTCATTGTATCATTCGTTTCTCGTCTATCTTCAGTTTGTCTTTTATTTAAGATTTGGCATTCCATTTAAGCCCGAAACTCAACCTGTTCGGGCAGAAATTGCGCCACTGGCACGAGAGCTTATCAAGCATGATTATATAATCTGCGCAATTGCAGACAATAAACTTCTTTTGCACAAAAAGAAAAAGAAATAAAACAAAAACAAAAATGCACACAAAAATTTTATTATCACATTGCCACACAGCTAATTTGCAACAAACAGACACGGCGCGAGCGTAAGAGAGTGAGATAGATAGAAAGAGCAAGAGAGGGAGGGAGAATGGTGCAAAAGAAAAAAGAGTGCAGTGAATTATATTTTCGCAATAACTTGGCAGTCGGCAGACGCTGCTTTTTATATGTATGCATGTGTGTGTGTGTGTGTCTGTGTGTTGCTGTGTACTGGTGTGCGTGTGTCCGCATTTGTATCTGTAGCTCTGTGGCAATAATAATAATAAGATGCAAACAAAATGCCGCTGCTGCTGCGCTACGTGCAGCTGCAACACGAAGCGGCGCACAAAAGTATGCTATGAAAATGGGGCCAAGCTCAGCGAGTGAGCGAGTGAGAGAGAATGGAGATCCAGTGGCAGTGCACTACAGCGTTAGAGCCTCTTTCTCATGGGCATATAAAGGAATTTACATAGATTTTTTAACGCAATAAGCGAAATGTGACTGCAAAATCCAATTTGTAATGAGAAAAGTAGTGTGTGCAACTCCAGTAGGCAGATATCTATATATGCACAAATTTATGTATTTATATATACATGTATGTGTGTATGCAAAATATATATTGCCGCATATTTCCGGCCGTATTTATGGTGTGCACTTTACATTGGAGCGTGCTAAAATTATGCAATACAATTATGGCATCAGAACAAGAATAAGAAGAAGAACAGCCCACTCGAGTCCCCTGCAGCGCATCGTATTTAGATTCTTCTTTAGTTTTTGTTTATTTTACAAACGCTTAAAAAACGTGACTTGTTTTGTGCGACTTAGTTGGGCCTGGCATATGAAACCGTAATTCCTGTTTTGGGCTTACGATTCGTAGGCGAATTCTTCAAAAAGTTCGGCTTTGAATTTTGCATGCAGCTCAGATATTAGTGTCTTAAAGCTGCGCCAAGGACGAAATCTAAAATGAAAATTGACAATGAGATAAAGGGAGATCAAGGTATAATTAGGCCTTTGCAATGCTGCTCTCCCAAGTGAAGTCTTAGTCCTAGATTATACTGAATTTTCATACATACACATATGTCCATACTTTTTAATAAATAAATATTTTATAGCGCAAATATGCAATTAACAATATTTATCACAGGTGCCATTTCACAATTCTTCTCGTCCGATCTGGTCGTTTGTGGGAATAATTAAAAAAAAAGTCGATAAATGTGAATCATAGCTGTTTGTAAAAATTGTATGTATGAACGTTTTCTTAGTTTTGAATGTATGTATAAACATCTAATAGATAGTACAAAATTAAATTAAATCGAACAGAAAATAAATGCTGAAAAAAAAATTATTTATAAACAGAAATAAAAGCAAACATAAAAAAAGTAAACATACGCTCTCTCTCTCTCTCTCTCTCTCTCTCTCTCTCTCTCTCTCTCTCTCTCTCTCTCTCTCTCTCTCTCTCTCTGTATGTGTGTGGATTAAATATCAATGTTAAACAAGCTAACTGGCTCTCTTTTGTTCTCTCTCCCTGTTTGGGCACCATTCCACTCAAAACTTTAGGTTCCACAAAAAACGCTTTCATTGTTGCGATATTGGCATCCCGCTCGCACTCACACACAACGACTCCAGTTAATGTCTCGCTCCTGCTGTTGGGTAATGACAAAACGTGATTTTTTTAGCACTTTTGTTTGTTTGTTTTTGTTTTTCATAATTCTTGTTACTTTTCTGCTTTTTTATGTTAATTTCTGTATGCTGCTCATTTTTGTTCGTTGCTGCCGCTGTTACAGTTGCTGTTGTTGTTGGCTTAAATTAAATATGTAAAGGCCGCTGACCAGCGTCCAGTCGCAACGACAATTTCTCGCATTTTATTTTGGCTTTGCATTTTCTCTTTTTCCCATTGGTTTCGAAGGTGTCGTAAAATGAGAGTTCATAAATATTTAGCGCACGTTTTATTAGTTGCCAGACAGAAGCCATTCGCATTTGATAGCCTTGGGCATTGTTGTTGTTGCTCTTGTTGTATTTAAATATTTCCATGGTCATCTAAGCTAAGGTCTGATAGCCCTATGCATGTTGCACTTAATTAGCTGATCAAATCTGTGTAGCAGCGACTCGTTGCCTGTCAGCAGCCCAATGAAACACCAGGGCAATGCTGCGGAAATCTTTCAAGGCTAATTTTCAACACTCGAGCGAATAGACCTTGAGGGGAGGGGAGTGGACAGAGTCCTGGCGGAGAGAGGGCGAGGAAACTCAGCTGAGGCGACAAAATTGTACAAATTCAAGCAACGTCAAAGTGTCAAATCGCAGCACTAGGCGTCCAATGTGGGCGTGGTCTGTCTGAGCTGAACTGAACTGAACTGAACTGAACTGGACTGGATTGGACTGGACTGGACTGGCGAGCAAGCCGACTGATAACGAAAGCAGGCAATGCACGTGTTTACCTTTGGATATTTGCTGCAGCCAAGCTGCCCGTTATAATCATCATGAAGATGAAGATGATGATGATGATGATGAGGATGCTGATGATGGAGCAGGAGAGGCAGCTGGCTGTTGACTGTTGGCGGCTAGCAATGCTGATGTCACACATTGATGGTCATTTTGCTGAGTCAATCGTTTGAAAAATTTATGTTGCCTTCAAAAGCAAAATTTGCCATAGACATCGCTATAGACATCGCATCGGCATCGACATCGACATCGGCATTGCCATGGCGAGATAGTCAATAGATGCGGTTCATTTAACTTGGCTAAATGTGCAGCGCTTGCTTGCTGCCGACTCCTGTTAGCTGCC